AAAGTCAGGCCTCATCATAGAGCACATCAAAGCATCCCGTGACCAGCTCATGCCGCCACACCACCGTGCTATGCATCTCACTGCACCTTCTTCAGCGGCTTGTGAGCTTCCCTCTCGATGCCGCCAAGCCCGTTGACACGTCCGTACAGCCACTTGAGCAGCACGGTGCTCGCCGTCATGAGCGACGCGGCGCCCGTGAACAAGGCCACGCGCTGCGGCGTATCGAGAATGGCAAAGATGGGATAGGGATACCAGCCGTTGTGGCTGAAGCACAACTCGACCCAGCCCCAGTACAGGAACGCGATGCCCATGCTGATGGCCATGGCGGCGTAGGCGCGGATGGTCCACGGCGGGCTCAGCAGCAGCAGGTCGAGCGTCAGCACGACGGCCGGCACGAGGTGGAAGCCCACGTCCGTCACCCAGTACAGCTCCATCTCGGGCGGGTAGAGCAGCGCCGTGTCAATGGCGCGGATGCCCCAGTACAGCAGGCTGATGAGGACCTCGAGCGGCGCCGACGTCACCGACATGGCGTTCTTCAGCGCGAAGAGCGGGCGGTGGAGCGTCAGGTCGGCGGCGACGCCCAGGGCGAACGTGACAAAGGCCATGGCGAGGCCAATGTTGGTGAGGTGCTGGTAGTAGCCGCCATACCCCTTGACCATGGGGTGATCCCACCGGTCGAGCCAGCGGAAGGAGAGCGTGAAGGAGACGAGGCCGGCCGTGTGCAGGAGGAGAGAGAAGAGGCGCGAGGGCGACTCGAGCCGCTGGAGAGGGTGACGGGCCATGGCTGTGTCGAGAGGTTCGAGGATTGCGTGTGGGCGATCAGACGGGTTATTGTTTTCGTATTTTTCTTTTGAGCTATGAAGGAGGTTGTTGGGTCATAACAAATAGACAGTTGAGGGGGTTTAGTGATGATATCAAGACAGTTCACTGTCAACGTCACTGGTGCCCACGTATGGGTCGTCCGGGACCTTGAAGAAGCCGAGCGCCCGATGCCGAAGAGAGCCACGCCACTGCCTGGTAGACGTCTCGCAGTCGTAGTCGACTCATCTTGGCGTTCTCAGAAGTAGTTCGATGTTGATCCAAATTCGACATGTTGCATTGCATGTCCTCGAAACTTTTAGTTGTGTCTTCCCACTTGAGGCACAAATGCAGTACCCCTTGTCCCACCCCCGTAATAAGGGATGCCACCTGTAGCAGCCGCCCACGAGCGCACTAATACTGAACGCTGGGCACCTCGTTGTAGGGAGCTGGCAACGCCTGGAGCAGCCGCATGCCGCATGCCGCACTCATCTGCAGCCGCTAGCCGGGTCAATCGCATCCTGTGATTGGCCTGATCAGGCTCGAAAGCATTCCGCCTGAGAGCTTGTTCATCCATCTTCAACTTCGTTGCAAACCTCCAGGTCGATCACCCCCCCTCTACAGAAAGCTATCGTATTGCGTCGCATGAGGCTCCGTGACAAGGCTCGAACCACCCAACATGACAGACGACGACAAGACGGCCAAGCGGAGCCATTCCGAATTTACTGAACAAGATGGCTCAGGTGAGCTTCCCTGCCTTGCGCTGCCTACTACTCAAACCTTTGTGTGCACCATCCTCGACATGCTGACTCCCCCCCCCTCGCAGATAGCTCTTCCGACGACGACATGGGCCCTCAGCTCCCAAGCGAAGCCCCGAAGAAGAAGCGCCGCGTCCTGCCCTACGAGAAGCTCTACATCGCCGCCCTGCCCAAGTCACCTCGCTACTCCAAGTCGTTAATGCACAAGGAGCAGCTCGCCTTCGTCACCGTCACACCCCTAACCGACTTTATAATCACCTCCTCCACCGACGGCGTCGTCAAGTTCTGGAAGAAAATGGCCGAAGGCATCGAGTTTGTCAAGGAATTCAAGGCCCATCAGGGCGAGATCAAATCGGTTTCGGTCAGCCAGGACGGCAGGAGCTTTGCGACGGCTGGCGTCGACGACACGCTGAAGATCTTTGACATTACGACCTTTGACCTGCTCGCCATGATCAACCTCGCCTTCACCCCTCGGTGCGTCTGCTGGGTACACAACAGGGGCGCCTCGGTGCCGCTGCTCGCCGTGTCGGAAGACGCCAGACCTCTGGTTCACATCTTCGACGGCAGAGGCGAGAAGCAGGAGCCGACACGGACCATCAAGTCTCTCCACCGAAGCCCTGTCAGGATCATGGCGTTCAACAGCCGCTATGATTGCGTCGTGTCGGTAGATGACAAGGGCCTTGTCGAGTATTGGCGGCCGAGCGGCGACTATGAGAAGCCCGACAATGTATTCGAGTACAAGGCTTCGACGAATCTCTTCGAATTCAAAAAGGCCAAGACCGTACCTACGTCTCTGAGCATCTCGCCGGACGGCCAGCAGTTTGCTGTCTTCTCGCAGCCCGACAGGAAGATACGCGTCTTCGACTTTGCCTCGGGCAAGCTGCACAGGACATATGACGAGTCCCTCCAGGTCATCGAAGAGATGCAGCAGGCCGGAAATGCCCTGTCCAAACTGGACGCCGTCGAGTACGGCCGCAGGTTCGCGCTGGAGCGCGAAATCGATTCTCCGGCCTACAGCGACAAGGCCAATGTCGTCTTTGACGAATCTGGAAACTTCATCATATACGGGTCCATCTTCGGCATCAAGGTCCTCAACACGTTCACGAACAAGGTGGTCAAGGTGTTTGGCAAGGACGAAAACTTCAGGGCAGTCAACCTGGCGATTTACCAGGGCCAACCGCAGAAAAAGGGAATCACCACAGTCGAGATGGGCGCCTCGAGCAATCCCTTGCTGCAGGAGTCGGAATCGAGAGATCCCATTCTGTTCGCGACGGGCGTGGGCAAGGTCCGGTTCTACATGTTCACAAACGAAAGCGAGGTCTCAAAGTCGGTCAGGGACGTTCAAAACGAGAAGCCGACAATGCTCGGCAAGCAGAAGGCGGCGGAAGCCAAGACCGCCGAGACAGGCACCGCTGCCGTGCTGCACACGACGTATGGCGACATCAGCATTCGTCTCTTCCCCGATGCCGCACCCAAGGCTGTCGAGAATTTCGTCACACACTCGAAGCGAGGCTACTACAATGGCACGATTTTCCACCGCGTCATCAAAAAGTTTATGATCCAGTGCGGCGACCCCATGGGCGACGGCACAGGGGGCGAGAGTATCTGGGGCAAGGAGTTTGCGGACGAATTCAGCAGCTTGAAGCACGACAAGCCGTACACCGTCAGCATGGCCAATGCCGGGCCCAACACGAACGGCAGCCAGTTCTTCATCACGACGGAGAAGACTGTACGTACAGAGTCGGTCAGAGCGGGGCACCCCGCCCTCCTCTGCGCACCCTTCTTCCTTTTGTTACATCTGCTGACGAGAAACAGCCCTGGCTCGACGGCAAGCACACCATCTTTGGGCGTGCGACGCGAGGTCTCGACGTCATACATAAAATCGAGAACGCCCGCGCGTACAAGGACAAGCCAGAGGAGGACATCAAGATATTGAATATTGACATTGCCTAGTCTGCCTATGTCGGAGTCCGTCCGACTCTCGGAGACGTTGAGCAGAATCAAACATCTCCGGAGATACCCCTTGCACCAACGCAGACCCCTGCACGAACTGTTGACGTGATGGAACAAGATGCACGTGGTGGCACCGACAACCGAACGGTCGGCGGCGTTGATGAATGCGGCGTGCTCGTGAACGGCTAACAAATCACAACTCGTCGATCGAAACAGACCCGTTGTGCACACGTGGGAGACGAGGGCGCAGATCGAATCCTCTTATACGCACTTCAGAACACTTGATCCGCTGCGCAGGGTCGCGGAGCTAGAATACCGGTGACTAGCATGACATGTTGAGATGACGAGCTTACTACTTTCAGTCTATTTGACACTTCTCACGAACTGGGCCTGGGCGAACAGCAACGTTGGGCATTTTGCTTTGCATCTCACACTCCCCCGCTGCACTGCAAGTAGGAATGTAGTCAAGCATCAGGGATGCCGATGACGGCGGGCCGGACGCCATACATCATGGGCGCGCCGCCACCAAGCCACATCCCACCCCGCCAAGTCGCGGCCCCGCGAAAGTCGAGCCGGCCTCAACCGCTCGACGTTCCGCCTCGTCCTGGGACAGGCTGGAGATTGAACTTGGAAGGCAAGTTTCACTGCCTAAGCAGAAGCTTTGTGGATGTCGGCAGGCTGTGACTCGCTCTCTGGGAATCGCCATGGACCATCATTTCACTGCGATGCCCCTAGCTATTCAAGCGCAGTTGACTGATGGAAAGATGCTTATATCATATATGTTTTGATTTATGAAAGGCCGGGACTTAAATTGGGTCTGCTCGTCCCCGAGACCAGCGTGACAAAGTCCAGACCAGCTTGCTCTGGATGCATCAAACAGCTACCACCAGTGACATGACATGGACCAGCTTCAGACCTCGTCCTAGCACTGCAAAACGTAACGGAAATTCAAATGGCTGACGAAGCCGCAGCTCTGGTACGTCAGATCGAACATGGCGGAGACTAACTACCCCGGTGGCGCCCCCGATCTACGGCATGTCGACATCCGACTACCGACTGACGCGATATCTGCATCCCAAGTCGTGCGTCTGATCAGCCCTTTCGCAGCCAACCACACTCCCTTTCAAGCATCAATTTATCCGCTTTCCCATGGAGCTTTTTTCTGTCAATCCTACATGATGTTGGGTTCGGATTCCTGGAAGACAGACCTCCTCGGAAATGTTCGATCTGGAATGCTCCTCAGCGTGTGGCCCAAACTGCAACGTGAGTTTTTAGGGGTTTCGGTGACGATCTGCATGCCTGAATCAGTATTCTGGGCCCTGACGGCCTCGTTGTTTGGTGTTTGGTGTAGCATTCACTGACAGAGTCTCCCAAGTCGGAGAGATTGGTCCTTGCCTCCTCGGAGATGCGGCCGCAGGCGGACGTTGAAGGCCATCTTCAATGATACCATCCCGAAGGCAATGTGGTGATAGACGATGAAAAGTTCAAGATTCTCGGCATCATGGTAGGATTCTTGCTTATAAGGCTGAGACGCACGTCTTGTGCGTAATGGCTCAGCCTGGTAGAGAACTTGCAAGAGACGGCGTGCGAGGTCAAGACGGAACAAGCTTTGCCACGCGAACGACAAGACATCAACAGCCGACTGTCTTGAGAAGCTTGGTCTTCTGGGTTCTCCCAACCATGTTTACCCCCAATGAGAAGCCGCCGGCCGCGGACAAGGCCATTGCTCAAAGTGCCACCGACTCGGACAACGATGCGACAGCAACGCCCAAGTCTGAGGAGGTCTACGCCGGCAGTGGAGGCAAGGATACCATCTGGGCTGCTGGAGCATCGGGTGCGTTGTACGAGCCCATCCCCGAGTATGAGGGAAGGCACCGCTACGACCCTACCGCTGTATGGACGGAGAAGGAAGAGAAGAAGCTCGTGAGGAGGGTAAGTTGCAGGCTTGAAACCTATGCCATCTCGCACATGAGAATGTTTCTAACGACAGCACAGCTGGACTACCGCATTTGCTCCTGGGTGTGCATCATGTTCTTCGCCCTTCAACTCGACCGCGGCAACATCAGCCAGGCCCTGTCAGACAACATGCTCGACGATCTTGGCCTCACGACGAACCAGTACAACTACGGCATGACCATCTTCTACGTGACCTTTCTCAGCGCGGAGCTGCCCTCGCAGATGATCTCGAAAAAGCTCGGCCCCGACGTCTGGATCCCCATTCAGATGGTCAGCTGGTCCATTGTCGCGGCATGCCAGTCCATCCTCGTGGGTGAGAAGGGATTCTACGCGACCCGCGCGCTGCTCGGCCTCCTCGAGGGCGGCTTTATCCCCGACGCCATCCTGTACCTGACCTACTTCTACACGAGCAAGGAGCTTCCCATCCGCCTGAGCTACTTCTACACCTCGTCCTACCTCACGCAAATCATCGCAGCCTTCCTCGCCGTCGGCATCTTCCAGCTCCGCGGCGTCGGCGGCTGGGAGGGCTGGCGATGGATGTTCGCCATCGAGGGCGGTCTGACGGCCCTCATCGGCGTCTTCTCGTACCTCTACATGCCCCCGTCGCCGACGCAGACGGCCTCCTGGTTCCGCGGCCGCAAGGGCTGGTTCACCGAGCGCGAGGAGGTCGTCATGGTGAACCGCATCCTGCGCGACGACCCCAGCAAGGGCGGCATGCACAACCGCCAGGGCCTGACGCTGCCGCTCCTCTGGGCGTCCCTCACCGACGTCGACCTCTGGCCCATCTACCTCATGGGCTTCACCGTCCTCATGCCGCTGCGGCCCGTCATGGCCTACTTCACCCTGACGCTGCGCAACCTCGGCTTCACGACGCTGCAGACCAACCTGCTGACCGTGCCGGCCTTTGCCATCTTCATCTTCCAGCTCATCTTCTGGTCGCGGTCTCGGGGACGG